TTTTTACACCTTAGCTCTGACCATAACGACCTAAGCCACTCTTCTATCGCCCCGATTAATATATTTTACACCGTAGCTCTGATCATAAAGCTAAGCCACTCTTCCATCACTCCGATTAATACATTCTTTTATGCCTTAGCTCTAGCGATAAGGCTAAGACACCCTTCCATTGCTTTGATTCATATATTTTTTACATTTTAGCTCTGACCATGACGACCTAAGCCACTCTTCCATCGCTCCGATTGATATATTTTTTACATCTTAGCTCTGACCATAAAGCTAAGCCACTCTTCCATCACTCCGATTAATACATTCTTTTATGCCTTAGCTCTAGCCATAAGGCTAGGACACCCCTTCCATTGCTTTGATTCATATATTTTTTTACATCTTAGCTCTGACCATAAAGCTAAGCCACTCTTCCATCACTCCGATTAATACATTCTTTTATGCCTTAGCTCTAGCCATAAGGCTAGGACACCCCTTCCATTGCTTTGATTCATATATTTTTTACATCTTAGCTCTGACCATGACGACCTAAGCCACTCTTCCATCGCTCCGATTGATATATTTTTTACATCTTAGCTCTGACCATGACGACCTAAGACACTCTTCCATCGCTCCGATTGATATATTTTTTACACCTTAGCTTTGACCATAAAGCTAAGACACTCTTCCATCGCTCCGATTGATATATTTTTTACACCTTAGCTTTGACCATGTTGACCTGAGCCACTCTTCCATTGCTTTGATTGATATATTTTTTACATCTTAGCTCTGGCAGCTTGATTAAAGAACTGAGAAATTAAGCAGGCTAAATTAAGCAATTAGATACCTGGGCAGATTGATTAAAGAACTCAGAAATTAAGCAGGCTAAATTAAGCAATTAGATATCTGGCCAGATTGATTAAAGAACTCAGAAATTAAGCAGGCTAAATTAAGCAATTAGATATCTGGGCAGATTGATTAAAGAACTCAGAAATTAAGCAGGCTAAATTAAGCAATTAGATATCTGGGCAGATTGATTAAATAACTCAGAAATTAAGCAGGCTAAATTAAGCAATTAGATATCTGGGCAGATTGATTAAATAACTCAGAAATTAAGCAGGCT